TAGACCTTTTTTTTTTTTTTTTTTTTTTTTTTGATTTGTGTGGATAACTTTTCACTGAGGCAAAACTCATCGGTTGATACCGGAGACTCATTTCTTTTGTCGCTTTAGTAATTGGTCTGCGAGGCCTTTTCTTTTTGCTTTGTTTGTTGGCCCGTACATCCGGGGGAGGGTATTAGGTTGCAACCAAAAAGGTTACTCTATATACATTATATTAAGCATTATACTATAGTCTAATATCTAAGCATTGTGATTTCGTCATCGTCGTCGTCGTCATCCGAAAACGCAGCAATGTATTTGGTGGGCGATTGGGAAATGGGTCTGGATGTGATGTTGGTATCTGGATCACTTTGATCCAAGTCAGAGTCGGAGTCAAGAATAAGAGAGCTGGCTGCCAATGGCTTGATATCGTTAGTTTGGCGTTTTGCGGCCTTCTTAACTAAGGTCCTGCTAGACCTTCTGGTCTTGGTGGGTGAGATAACTGGTGAGTTGGTTGCAGAAGGGGTTGCAAGATTAGGTACCCTTCTTAGTTCAAGTCTGGGAGATACGCTGGTTGGGGGTTTGTTTAATCTACGACGTTTTGTCGGGGTGATTCTGCTGACTTCTTCGTCTGGGGTTTCTGATCCTGAATCCTGAGTTGATACCTGGGTTGGGTTTTCAGACGGGCGTTTTCTGGTTGGAATTATCTCCAAAGAGTTTCCCGTGACACCGCTGGCGTCACTGTCACTGTCACTGCTATCACTGACGGAAACGGCCTTTACTTCTTCGACTTTTCTTTTGGGTCTACCAACAGGTCGTTTTTCTTTCACTTCGACTATTTTTGTCCTTGGTCGCCCAACTGGCCTTTTAACAACTGGATCAGTTTTGGTTTTGGGCCGGCCCCTTTTTTTCGGTGGTCCCTTGGGTGTGATTGGATTCACCCGAGGCCTTCCCCTTTTCTTCTTTTCAATTGGCTGGCCAGTTGATGCATCAAGTGCGTCTGGACTGGCAGATTTAGATGTAGAAATTGGTTCTGAACCAGTCTTCTTTGGACGATCAGGTCCTCGCTTGTCATTTGTCTTCTTTGTGGTTTCTTTTTTCTTTTTGGTTTCATAATCTTTCAAGAGCCGCTTCATTTCAATTTCAGAATCCAGTTCAGAATCACTCAGATC